CCCCATCCTACAAAAAAACCCCCCAATAAAAAATTAAAACAAATCCCATTTTTCTTTTACCAACCCCTTTAAAAAAAAAAAACAAATCTTATCTTATCTTATCTTAACCAGCCTTGGCCAACAATTTTTTTTCGTACCATCGAGAAACCGGGCTTGATACGGCTTATGCTGTCAGTGGCCCTTATAACCCCAACAAAGAAGAAAGAAAGAAAGAAAGAACCTAATTTCTTCTGTTAGTGGCTCTATAAACCCAAACAACAACAGCCACCTAATTTCTCCTTAATTTACTTTATTCTGGAGGTAAGTGTGGCGGGTTTAGTGCTGTTATAGAGGCGCAGTTGTGATGAGAATTGACGGAGTAGCGAGAGATAAGACGCCACAATTATCACTATATATTGTGAATAAATAACAAAAAGGCACAATACCGTGATTGGAACGATACACAAATAACCCGCACATAAAAGAGAGAAGCTTACGACGACGTCTGGTTGTCTTTGTTGTGGACGTTTCGCCATCCAGTGGCTGGCTGGATGGCGAAACGTCTACGATGGGGATGCCCGGGTGTTGTGCATGTGTCTTAATTTCATCTTGTCGGTACTATATACAATTCTTCTTCTTCTTCTACTAACTACAACTAACTACTACTACTAACTACTACTACAAACTACTAAATACTACTTACTACTACTACTAGTACTTCTACTACTACTACTACTACTCTACTACTACTACTATACTTATACTAACACTCAACTACTATACTACTACTACTACTAACTACTACTACTACTACTACTACTACTACTACTTACTACTACTACTACTACTACTACTACTACTACTATTACTACTACTTACTAGTACTACTAGTACTACTAATTACTACTAGTACTATTACTACTTTACTATTACTATTACTATTACTACTATATATACTATTACTATTATTACTATTACTATACTATTACACTATTACTAATTACTATTACTACTATTACTATTACTACTATTACTATTATTACTATTACTATTACTACTATTACTATTACTACTATTACTATTACTACTATTACTACTATTACTACTATTACTATTTACTATTACTACTATTACTATTACTACTATTACTATTACTACTATTACTATTACTACTATTACTATTACTACTATTACTTCTACTACTATTACTATTACTACTATTACTATTACTACTATTACTACTACTACTAGTACTACAGGGGGTAATTTACCCCTAGTTTGGGAACCACTGCCTTAGACAAATAAGTGTTTTTCAGTGAAATATATATATTATCTCAAGGCGCCCATTGGAAATAAGTCACTTTGATTGCATTTTTTAACACATTGGCTGTCTCCTGCCAAGGAAGTGACCCAAAGAAAGAAACACTTTCACCATCATTCACACACATTCACTGTCTTTGCAGAGGTGTCCAGATATGACAGTTTAGGTGTTACCCCAGACAGCCAATATCCCAGACTCCTCCTTCAAAGTGCAGACATTGTACTACCCACCTCCAAGGCTCAAGTCTGGCTAACCAGTTTTCCCTGAAATCCATCACAAAATATTACCCTGCTCACTCTTCAACAGCTTGTCAGGTCCCAAAAGCCATTCATCTCCATTCACTCCTATCTAACATGCTCACACATGCCTGCTGTATGTCCAAGCCCCTTGCACACAAAACCACATTTTGGGTTACTCTAAACAATTTACACTATGTATGATAATTGTACTTGTGTGTGCCTGTGCCTAAATAAACTTTCATGTCATAAACTGCAGACCATAGGCATAGGCTTGTAAAAATAAAGATTATTATTATTATAAGTACATATACAAGGTATACAGGCCTAGCTGACATCAGTGACATACTACTATATAGAAAGCCGCTTGTTATAAGATAAGATTTTCTTTGGATAACCCAAGAAAGTCGGTGCATCATCGAGGACTGTAACTTATTTCCATTGGGGTCCTCAATCTTATGCCCCAGGATGCGACCCACAAATACACTTACAAACGCACTTACAGAAATACACTTACATAATTGGTCGAGTTGGGAGCAGTTCGAAACTCGGGGTACCACTGTACCTTGGAGCCTCCTACTCTTTTTGGGCTATGTACTGTATAAAAATGACCTGCACTCTTTGTAAATACAGCCTCTCCTCACTCAGCGACGTATTCGTTTACCGACGCCTCGGACTTACAATGGGCTCTCTGACCAGTATGCGTGCCTAAATAATGTATATTAGAGCTGATTTCCTCTATTCTGTGTATTACAATATACGTACAGCACACTACTGTATAAACATTTAAAAATATACTTGAAATGTTATAAATGGTGCAAAGGCGACATTAAAACAATATCAAGTATGCTCCTCACTTAGCAACGAAATCGTTTACCAACGTGGTCTTAGGAACGGAACTCCATCGTTAGGTGAGGAGAGGCTGCAAAGGATTTTAAATGTTATTGAAGGCTGCTTCTTGATGGAACTCGGGCATTATTTTCATTTTAAAGATGCAAGCAAGCTATCATAACCTAGCAAAAATAATTCTTGTAAACATAGTTATCTTTTTGGCTATTACAAAAATACCACATATATTTCTATTAGAATGCAGCATTCAGTGACCAGTCAAGTGAGTATCGAGCCAGTGGATTTGCTTGCCCAATCAGAATGAACATAAAGACATGCCATTTCCATATACATGTACAGTGGACCCCCGGTATACGATATTAATCCATTCCTGAGAGCTCATCATATTCCAAAATTATCAGAAGGCGAATTAATTTTCCCCATAAGAAATAATGGAAATCAAATTAATCCGTGCAAGACACCCAAAAGTACAGTGGACCCCCGGTATTCAGTGGCATCGGTATATGTTAAATCCGGTATTTGATACATTTTAACGGAAAAATTTTGCCTCGCCACTCGTTAAAAAACTCGCCACACACGATTCATCCGGGACGCATCCACGCGAGTGCCAGTGAGTCACCAGCACGGCTTGCAATAGCTGTTAGGGTGATTTTCATCCATAAAGGTTTGCAGTTCAACCCACTTTGCATACATTTCCTTAATTTTTGAAGTAGGCACAATGGATTCCACAACTGGCATAGACTTCTCAGGGTTAGCCCCAAACCCTTCAAAATCTTTCTTAATTTCCATACTAATTCTCACCCTTTTTACCACAGGGTTGGCGCTAGAAGCTTTCTTGGGGCCCATGGTGACTTATTTTGCAGAAACAAGCATCAAAAACACTGTGATAATATGGAATGTACTGAATGTATGCTTAGATGCGAGCACACTGGCTGGCTTGTAAACACTGGTACTCATGTGGACGCGTCCTGGACGAATTGCGTGTGGCAGGTTTTTTAACGAGTGGCGAGGCAAAATTTTTGCGTTAAAATGTATTGAATACCGGATTTAACGTATACCGATGCCATCGAATGCCGGGGGTCCACTGTACAGTGGTCTCTTGAGTTATGATATTAATCTGTTCCAGAAGTCATTTTGTACCTCTAAGCTATCATGACTCCAACTCCAAATTACATTGTTTTATGGTAATTCGTTCCAAGAACCTGCAAGTACTGTAACTTGGACATACACACTCAGATGTAACTTCCACTGTATCTCCCTTCATTAGTTCTTGATTATCCACAGTAATAAGTCTTTCCATTGCAATGATAATTTCTCTACCTTTTTGTACTAGCTTACATTAATAAGCCATTTTAATAGTCTTAATTGTTTCTATTTGCTTGGTAATTGCAACAATGGTCGATTGTAAAAAGTCAGAGAAATGGCTGGTTTATTGCCCATTTTAGGGGCCATGATAACTTGGTAATACAAAAGATGGTGTACTTATAACAAATACTGTTGTGAAGGGTACATACTCCAGAGTTATTGTGTGAAAATCATGATAACTTCAGAGTGAAAAGTAAACTGATCAACTGTAATATAAACTTTGCTATTGGCTAAGATGCTACCATATAGACATTCATCTCCGTTGCTGATAGGCTGCTAAGTGACTTTCACAGACCCCCATTCCTATTGGTTCAGAGGCTCTCCAAGACCAAGCCACTGAGTTGCTGGTTGACTAGGCAGATCTTCACAGGAACTGATGGTCCTGTTGGCTGAAATGCTGCCCAAGAGGCAAGCTACCACACTGCTGGTTGGTAGAGATCTATCCACGTGCGCCAACCATAATAACAACAATAATTTTAATAATAATAATTAATGTGTATGTGTTAATGCTTTAGGTTCGAACCTTCTGCTAGGCAACACACTCCCCCACTCTTCAGAGATCTAAACCTACTTATTATACAAAACATTCACTCATACTACTGTGCATATTACATTTACAGAACAATAAATTCTAATTTCAATTCTGATCTGAAATTATTTCTTGATAGCTGCGACAAAACTCACAGGCATAATACTAGACACAGACATCTGTGATATTCCCCGTGTCTGGCTTCGTCTTTATAAAAAGACGAAAGGACAAAAGGACCCAAAATATGGAACTCCCTACCACAAATCTCCAGAGCCTTGCTGTCTGCCAGAAGCTTCAGAGCTACTGTAAAAATACACCTCCTTCACTAATACAGTAGGGCCCCACTTTAAAGCATTTCGCTTTATGACGTTCCGCTAATATGGTCACTCCAAATGATGATCAAAAAACTCTGTATGGCTACTCCCACCTGACTTTCTAATACGGTCACCACGCCCCGGCTGGTTTGTTTACATTCTGTGTGAGATCAGTAAACACTACGTCTCTCCATTATGTCTGGAAACTCCAAAATTTCAAGTGTTTTTAAAAGTTATTTCATATTTCATATGTACATACTCTGACAATTATACTTATGTATACCTGTACCTAAATAAACTTAAAACGCTTTGCTGGCGTGCAGGTACACATGAAAATCAGTAAGAGTGTCTTATGTCTTGAGACGTCATATTAGTAATGATAATAATAATCACGAGTCTCATTAAATGTTGTATATTACGTTAATATACACATTTTCTTTAACCCTTTCAGGGTCCGTCCCGTAGATCTACGACTTTACGTTCAGGGTCCAAACCGTAGATCTACGTCATGAGCTCAGCTCACTCTGATAAACTGTGAGTGGTACATTTGGGCCTAGATATGAGAGAATACATCTATGTGGTATGTGTGCACCACATAAAACAGATCCTGCAGCACACTGTGTATAATGAGAGAAAAAAAACTGAAATCATGATTTTTCGATTAAAACAGCGACTTTGCAGTGTTTTTTCGTATGTTTTTTATAGTT